TACTGAAAATACAAAGCCTGTTTTAACAAAAGCAAAAATGTTCCTGTGGTTCAGTAAACCTGTTTTCTAATATGAACAGTTTGCATTCATAAAGACACTAAGCTTGGGACAAGAAAATATTTCCTCGAAGGTCAAAATGAGACAAATTTTTTTAAACATGCAAACACACAGATCTGTTGCCCATTATTTCTCCCTCTCTTATAAAAGACTTACTGGGCTGGAGTAAAGCAGGTAGTTTTACATGTTTGATTATACAATGACCTCTCCCCTCATGCTAAAAACATAACATACAGAACTTTTTGTCAGCTGTTTCTGTCACAAATGCTGCTTCAGTACATTTGAATACTATGCCCTTCAGACTCTCCTGACTGTTGCAACAATCAACTTTCAGAAAGCTTAGAAATACCTACATTTGCCAATTTTCCTTTACAGAAAGTATTGACAAGTTTATAAATCTATGGCAGGGGTATTACAATTATGTTAACATCAACTCATTAACTGAATTCAAAAGATACTTTCATTTTGTAAGGACTCTATGGCTGCTGCCCATTCAATAGCTCTATCAAGGCACTGTACAGTCGTTAAATCTCAAATGTTCTCCAAGATGTGCTGAAGAATATTGTGAACGTGCTTAAGTTGTTAAAAAGCCCTGAGTCAGAACTTCTGTATTTACCACAGGCTTAGCCATAAAAATGGCACATACTAAAGCTTCTGCAGATAACAGTTTCGCTTTGTCAACATGAACAAGTTATGAAATGCACAAGAAGACAACAGTACAAATTCCAACAACTTAGAATGATATAAAACGTATGTTGTGGCAAATCACACTCTACTATTGTACGTTCAATTATACAGTCAGTAAAAAACCTTTGTGATGTTTTCAGACATCAAAACTAATGAAGCAAAACAAAACTGATGTGTTCCCCATCCCTTCCCAAAGACAACAACTAGAGAATAATTCAGTACTTTGACAGAAAAGAGGTAGCACTGCTAAAAGTTAGGCTGTAGTGTGGTTGGGTTGTTTTTTTAATTGAAAATTTGACCCATGCAGCACAAGGAACAAGACAGGCTCTTCAGTTCACCAGCTGCTACTGGAGGAGTAAAATTAAGTTTCTGACAGGTAATTTTGTAGAGGAAGCTTGATTACTAGCTCAAAGCAGCTTCTTCAAACAATTTAGTGTTTACACAAACTGCAATTAATACTGCTAAAAATAATTAGGCATACATACAATGTCACCTTTAGAAAATATCTACACAATATGTACTTTGATTATTTTTAAAAGACCATTTCATGTCTTTAAAAGAAGCTAAAATATCAATTGTAAGACTATGCTAACAAGGCACAAGTACTTGTGCAAATCTGCTATAACTTCACCTAGTCCAAGTTAAGAAGGACACCTCCTAATAAAACTCTCGCATATACAAAGGAACTTGTTTATTCTCTCTTGCCAGTGTAACTTTCAGTATCCACTTCAGCAAAACGGGATTCCTCCAAACTCCAACATAAAAGTACACAGTATTTCAACAAATGGGAAGTAGGAAACAATAACTCAAATTTTTAAAAGTGCTACAGGGGGAAAAAACGTCAAAGCAAATTATATAGAAGTTAACAAGCTACAATTATTTAGGGGAGTCTGTTAGCCTTTTAGGTTGTCTTTATGCTTTAAATCACTGTGTACTTGTGTGATCATTTATATATTTTACTAAATGAAGAACATGAAAGAAGCATTTCACTTTAACATCTGAGCATACCTCGCACCTGAATAGTATGTATTTTTAGGTGCCTCCTTGTTTGTTTCAAAGAAACAAACTGAGGTATTTAATTCAACTTCATTTCAAAACTGCTATTAAGTACTGAGTGATAATCACAATAAACCAAAGTTGCAAGGTTTACATTTTATAATATATTAGAGAAGTGCCTTACTGGTTTTGCTCTCATTTTCACTTTGCTCCCTACTAATAGCGATGATAACGAGATCTGCACTTTCATCTTTTGCTGAAGACAGAGGCACATGACATCCTCAACTTTCCTACTTGTTATGAACCCCTTTGGCTTTCAATTGAGCTTCCGGTTTAATCCTTCTATAATTTGTTACCCCATGCATGTTGCACAGATGATACCAGTCTAAACTGAGCAAATGAACTTCCTAGCTTCCTCAACAACACTAGTTCACCTTCTACATTAGAATCCAAAGACAGTGTATGAATCTAAATATCTATCTCCATAAATTACATGGATTTGCAAACACTTTTCCTCATTATGTTTTTTGAAAGGCAAGCAACGTTTAGCCTTCTCAATACAAGACACAGCTCCTTCACCTGTTAATAAGAGCCCTATATTAATAATCCAAGCATGCTGGTTAGCTTACTTAGTTTTTCTAATTCAGTTGTTTCTCATGGCACCTTACTAGCATCAAGTTGACATACTTTAATTTCAACTGGCACACAACAGTGCCACGAGTCCAATCACAAACTAGTATGCTGTCACACACATCTGGTGTGACTTTTGTATGGACCAGAGCTGCTCCTACAGTGATACCTTCAGTCACTGTCTATTTCTGTAGCACTGTGATGGCATCCAAGTATTAAGAGTGTCATAAACTTAGAGATTTCTCTGTTGAAATGTGAGCCTAACAGAGCACTTACCTATCTATGCTACAATATGTGCCTCAGGAAAACAAGGCATATTTCACATTCAACTCCAGTTTCCCACCCAGGATACTTTCAATAAGTTCTTACTCAGCTAAATTATTCAACTGATGCTAAGTTGGAATACTTTCAAGTAATTCTGGCTTGTTCCAGTGAAAAAGAATTAGAAAAATGCTAACTGCGATACTGAGGTTTCACTTTTAAGCTGTGTTATCAAGAAGAAATCCAACCCTGTCTTTGTGCTGACAACAGTTTAAAAGGTCCCCTTGAAGAATAAATAGGATACAATATTCAAGACGTGTCTACTAGAGCCAGAGGAAACCAAGATACAGATCTCATGCACTACAGGCTGAAATGCAGACTGGATTGTCAAATGTCACATCCTATTATAAAGTTATTTTCAGAGGAAGACTGACAGGAAACTGAAGTCTACTACTGAAAGTTCAGCTGTCAAACATACTACCAAAAAAATCAGACTTAGTGACGTGCATATTAGCCAAATGAAAATTGCAGTGAACACTCAGGTGCACTCAGATCTTAAGTAGAAATAGTGAAATTCTGAACTGAAAAGTTTTCCAAGCTGTTTGAAATGTCAATATTTTAGCATGGGGAACCAAGCATCAAGAAAAGGGAGGGCTATTTCATTTGGCCAAGAAGATTGATACACAGATTATCTGATGACTACTAGCATATAAAATAAAACAGACTACTATGTTGACTCTAGATTGAGACTGTATCCAATGAAAAATTACTGAAAAGAACTTACGAACAATTCAGGATTAAAGGATTAAATCAAAAGGACCAAAGGATCAGGATTAAAGATGGCTATAGAAAGGCTGTGTATTACATTACTTTGCTCTGTTAAAAGCCACTCTCCATACATCTTTTCTAATATATCACTGTAGTTGTTTCCTGAAAAATTAGTCAGTGTTCAGACCTTATTGGTTATAAGTACAGAACTTCACAGCTTACTAGTAACATTCTTCTGACACTTTTGCCAATGTTTCAACAATTCAGGCATATCCAACATAAGCCTCAGAAGTCTGAGATTGATTTATCTGAAGGGATGATAATTGTATGCCTTTACCCTTACTTCCCCTGAACTATTCCTTTTTCCATGTTTTTTACATACACAAGGAGAATTACATGAGAAATTAATCTTAGCTGCAAGTAAGGCACCTAAGTGACTCCAGCATGGATTTCTTTATTGTTCTACAAGAGCACATCCAAATGCAGACTGCACAATGGCAAAGGGCTATATAAACTACGCGCTCAGAGAACTGTCAAATCACTGAGGAGTAAGCACACTTTTTTTTTTAGTTACAAGAGATCCCTAAATCAGCATACTTTCTTTCTTCTAAAAAGATGGAAGGATATGCCTCATAAAAATGTTAATGGTTTTCAGTTCCTGACAGTTGCATTTTAGGGGTCAGGAACACCTCTTCATCACATGGCTCAAATTCACTGCTCAGTCAGCAATATCTTGATTTCTAGTATTACCCAGTAATGTTCACAGGTAAGTTTTGATTCTAACACTCAAATGAATAAGCAATATTAAATCTTCTCTTTTGCTGTTGACACTGCCTGCCTGTAGACAATAAAACTAAGAGATGAAAACTTGCAAAATCTCTGGTTTCTCTTAATTCACAGGTCTAGAACTTTTAAACAGCCACACACACACATTTATATGTGCTCCTCTACAACCAACCAAATTCATTCATCTGCAATGGACAATTGACCCACTGCTCAAATGTTTTCCTTTCCAGTCAAGTTAAAAGCAATTCCATACAAAATTATGTGGCTAGCAGAAGTTCACTTTTTAAATTTGCTTGAACCTGTTTGACTAAAGTGCAGTTTTCAGAACATCATGTTTTTAAACTAGCGTTTTCTATTTACTGTTTCCTTCCCAATACATCCTCAGCAACAAAGGACATAATAAAATTAGAATTACCTTAGCATTGTATTCTGAGGCCTGATCTTATGGAAACTGTGTAACTTTTATTACTGTGTATACATTTTGTATCTATTTTGCATTATTTATATTTCAAGACAAATTATTGTGAATCTTAACTGTCACAGGAAATTCCAACATTCTCCAGAAAAGAATAAAACAAAAAAATCCTAAATTGATATTACCTGACAAAATAAAAGAAAAAACCAAAGCCTTACATAACTTGACACCTGATACATACATGAAAAACATGAACAAAACCAAAATAAGATTGTCCCTTTAAACTTTAAGGGTAAGAAGAAGACAAAGAAAATGAAAAAAAGACTGCTTTAAATTAGCTTCAGACTCAGATGTTTTGTAAGAGTAAAGCTAAAAGCTGACTGTTCAAATACTGTTCTTTTATTTGGTGGGTTTACAGTCTTCAAACAATTACCGTGTAATGAGCCTGTGCTACAGTATTAGAAATGTTTTCATTAAAACCCTTCGCTGCCTTTCAAACTGATGGAGACTTAAAGTCATCAAAATGTCCTTACTATTTTTTTCACAGGCTAGTAGAAGACACTAGTTCCACTACTTAATACAAAAGGATCCTTCGTTCAATGGCCTTTCGGCAAATAGGGCATTCGCTCATTCGGTCTCCGCAAAGCTGACACGTCCCGTGGCCACAGAGAAAGATCATGTTCTTCAGACGATCCAAACAAACAGGGCACATGGTCTGGAAAAGATTTTTGACAGGTTACACAGTCAATGGCAGCAGTGTCACAGCATCGAATATGCAATATATAAATTACTGAAATTTAACAATAAAAATGCCATCTTAAATATGGCAGACCACAGACACAGCGTAACTCAGCCACTAACCTGAAAACTAAACATACATATATGTTCTTAAATCACATTTTTACTTCTCGTTGACTTAAAATCATCTTTTCCTACCCTATCATGACAGAAAAATCTATGTAGCTTATTTCCAAATACGATCACTTCAAGTAAGACAATCCAGTAGGCTGACATGACATTTTCAACATCATTACCCAAGTTTGCAATATTAATACATTATGCAGCAACGTTTCCCTTTGTATCATGTCATTTTCCAGGGAACAAACAACACAAACAGCTTTATGTGATCTAGTAATGATTTAGCAGGTTGTTTTCAGGCTACCTAGCCATTCATATACTTACCTTTAAACACCAAGCATGTGGAAGTAATAAAAACGCTGCATAAACAAAATTTATGTAAAGATTCAATACTTGTAATTCCAGCCTTTGTTCATGGAAGTTATCTAGATTTTCAACCAAAAGAATAGTTCAAGTTTCAAATTAAGAACAATTTAATAAATCTGTGACCTTCAGTCATAACAGTAGCACAGCAAACTTTTAAAAGCAGTTTTAATTGCTGAACATTAGTGTGACAGCCAATGCCCAAAAATTATACCCTGAAGTTCTTCAACGGCAAAGTTCATTTTGTACCAAGCCACTAAGGAACAAAGTCCTTCACCTTTTGCCACATGCAGAAATTGAAGTTTTGGTAAGGCATGTTCCTTCACCATTAAACAAATTGCAGCCATATTAGAATTTCATTTATAACAATTTATCAAAGGTTAGTAAATGAATAGATTTTATAACAGATGATAACTGTTAAGCCCACTCTATAGTCCAACAAATCATATCTAAGATGTCTTCAGATCTGAGACACACTACTCACATCTAACAGTTATAAATGTAGATATAATATCTAATATGATATACTGACACGGCTCATATTTCAAATGCAAATTTATTTTATCACCTCCTTGCACCTGTGTCTTGTTTCCTTACTCATCATTGGGGGTTTACTTTACTTTGTTTAACGCATGAGAAAGAATCCATAGCAGGAACCCTATTCAGTACAACCTTAAAGCATACTCGGAATCAACAGGTATTAATTCCTAGAATAGAAAGTTTAAGACAAAAAAAAAATTTAACCACCAGTCTGCCCCTACAAAGTTGGGATGGAATTTGTCCAAATGCCTATTTTAATCTTCAGGATACCAGTCTAACAGGCCAGTAGGAATGTAAAACTTCTAGAAAAAACCATATGTGAATTTATACTTAAAAAAAACCCCTCAGTTTTCTCAAAAATGCTGCGTTCCAGCTTTGCCAGAATTTGCATAGTATTATAACAAAACCTAAATCTTATATTCGGAAAAAACTTAAGAGCTTTTATTCTATGTTTTTAGCTTAATTATTTGCTTTCGTGCCTAAATACAATGTCAGAATTACTGAAGTTAGAAGGGTCTGTTTCTCTCCAAATGCCACACCATCATTTGGTAATGAAAACATCTACCAAGGGACTCAGAAATAAAAAAAAATGAAATCTGTTCAAACGTCATTACTTTTGATGATGTTAGCAAAGCACAGAGTTCCTAACATTTTCATTTAAAAGATCCTTTCTGCAATTGTATGCAGCATTAGCAAATTGCACAATTTCTCCTCCTTAGTGCAAATGCAGAGTATTTAAAATACATTAGCTGTTTGATTTCTTAGTAAGATACTATTTTAACTTTTGTTACCTCATACAGTAGGAGAATTCAGCTGGCAGGAGCAACAAAACTTCCTGTTTGCTATGCAATTCTATTCTGACAACTATTTTCTTGATTAGATCAGCAGTTTCCCAGTGAGATACAAGCCCAAATAACTGAGTTTCATCCAACTTTCAAGGAGCAAACATTACATAATCTCCAGCTTAGATGCACTTCTACAGTGGAATAAAGTTCACTTATGCCTTATACCTAATTTGCACCACAGAGGCAGGAAATCACCAGTATCTGCTTCTACTGAGCTTTTAGTTTATGACAATGTTCTCTGTATGAAAACATCCACTACTTTTTTTATCTCCATGAAACACCTGACTCTCATTTTCAAAGAAAAACAAATGGTATAAAAAGTCACTGTACCTGTGCTATGTGAGAATTACTTATTTGGATAAGCAAAAGTGCTCATCTTACCTTTAAGTGTAAGTGGGTTTGCAATCCGAATCAATTTTTAATGCTAACAAGGTTTTTTAAACTGCTTCAAGTATCAATTCCTCATTACTAAAAGCAGTTTTGCCAACAATATAGAGGTGCACAGTGACAAAATAAATTTATTTTTAGGAAGAAGGAAAGTGATGTAAGTATGGTGAAGGAACATACAAAAGTTACTAGACAGATGATGGTGATTATGTATGAAATGGAGTGAAGGTATTGCAATTACAGTCAAAAGGGTTCACATTCAGGGAATTCCTGAAGAATGGTCTGGTCATCAGATGTGGGAGATTCTGTTGACATCAGCATCACTTCTGCTTGGCACCAGAAAAGGTTTTAAAAGCTTGCTGCACTAACATATTAGATTATCATTGAAGGTATGAGTTGAAACATAGGATTATACCTGCTGAAAGAGAACAAATTAATTTTATGTACAAAATTACCAATGTAATGTGAAAACTGAACTGTTAAAGAACAAACTGAAATAACATACGACTACAGAGAAATGCTGTGCACGCTTCAAGCACAAATTTAATAGATGATATGACTATTTTTAATCAAATCCAACTTACTACTTGCAAGTATGATACACAACCTGTCCTGTCACAAGACTAAGCAAAAAAGACACTAAAGAAAACATGAAGTCTCAAGACAAGATGCACACAACCACCACCACAATCATTTCCTTCTAGTCAGTGGAATTGAACAATCTTCAGTTTTACACTGATTTAAAGTAAATTGTTGGACAGAAGGACATTTCAAAGTAAAAGAATGCACTTAAATTCTCAAAGCATTCCAGTATTAGATCTTACTACTGCAAATATGACAACCAGAAAATACAAGTAGAAAGAGACACATATAAAAGTAATTACTGTCTTCTACCTAATACAGTAGAACTTTCTGATATTAGAAAGTTTCTGGCTAACAAATCACAAAGGTAAGGCAAAATTGTTAAGAATAAAAGAGCACCTAAATAAAACTGAAAAAAAACTAAGATCACATCGAACCAAAAAGAAAAACTGTAATTGAAAGTAGTTTTTCCTTTATGTCCCTACACATAAGACTATTATAATACCTAAAAAGAACTTCAGTATTTTATAAACTCCTAAAATCAAGTAACCAGGAAAGAAAAACATACATGTGAAGAAAACAGATTACCTGCATTTAAGCATTCATTTGCATATTTTGCATGCATAATTTTAAATTACGTTCTTTTCATCCCATGTTAACAAGTAAAACAGAAGCTAAATAGTAGGTCTAAGACATCAGAGATATCAAGGAACTCCAAATGTTTTTGTCAGGAAGAACATGCATCTTTCAAATGACAATTTTGAAGCCTCATATTCTTTCACAGACACAAACTACAAAGGACTTTGTTTTGAATTGGATATTTCTATTACTGGGGTGTGGACCAAGCCTCCATATCGCAGGAACAGCTTTTCACAGATGCGCCACTGACTTCACAGCATCTCAGCTCTCAAATTTAATGCCTTTAGAGGTACGTGCCCTAAAACTGGCTACCTAAACTGGCTATGTCAGCTTTCAAAAACATGAACAGCTGACAGCAACAACTACCAGGACTAGATGAGATGCTGCCATCACTTAAGTATTACTGACTGCTGTAAGCCTACAAGACAAATAGGCAAGTAATACAGTAATACACTCCTGCTTCCTGACTCCATGAAAAGTTTCTTCCAAATATGTTATACACAGGGAAGCTTAAAAATACATTCTTAGGGTTGTAAGAAAGTAAGTTCATACGATAGCCAGATACTCCAGATCCTTTACTGCTGAAAAATCTCAAAATCAAGTTTTTGTTTATTCAAACAAAAAAGCAAGGAGACTGTTTAGTAATATAACACTGGAAAGTTCTTCATGTAGACAACTACTTAAGCCCTTCTAATGGACCTAGACTTACAAATGTAAAAAATTTTAGAAGGTAAGTGTCAGTTACCTGAAACAATTCTTTTGTTGTTGTTTTTCATGGGGTTTCTGAATTGTGTGTAATTAACCAATAAATAATCAATACAATCTTACAGCCAATATGTATAAATTTCCTCCTGTAAACACTATGAATAATTACAAAAGACAAATCTTATAATTTACATTTCAAATATTCAAGTTACATGTGCAGTACTTTTCAAAGGTTTTAATTTTGCAACCACAAAATGTTCTGAAGAGTAAATAAACTACAGTGTCTTCATAAAACAGGTAACTGCCAGCCATTGTTTGAAGTCAGTTCATGAACAGACAAGTAAATATTCATGTAGATACAAGAAGATCTACTTTTATTACTGTTCTGTGAAACCAGTTTCTGCTGTACCTATACACCCAGGTCAGCTAAACAGGCAGAGAATATCCTGACTAGGCAGAGCATCCCTGTTTAGTTACCCCAACACAGATGCTCTAATAGATGGATGGATTCAAACATGGTCACTTGATGTGTCTTTTTTTAAAACCTGCATATAGAAGACATACAAACCAGATCACAAAAAATATTGGCTATTTAAAATTTAAGAACTGAAACTCTCAACATGTCACATTGTTTTAAGTAACAGAAGATGCATTGGCTTTATCAATTACTTTAGTGATATATGAAAGTTTTATCAAGCACTTTTACCTGTTCCTTGATGTCTTGTAACTGTTGCTGCAGCTTCTGTACATCCGCATTGACATTGGTGTTGTCTTTGTCTTTCTGCAAAACTGGAATGTTACCACTTGCTGTAATTTAAATAAAATAAATATATGAAATTATGCATCAATCTATTGAAACAGGAATAGTTATTTCCAGTGTACCAACTACAAATTTTCAATTATCTGAAATAATGTTAGTCAATCAGATTCACTATAACAAAGCTGCAGCTCAATTCATGAAGACCTTCTTTGAGCTTAATGGTAACACTTCTCTGACAAGTACTACCTCAATAATGATGCTCGAAGTGCCTGTAAGCCCCTTTAATTTTCTTAGAGTTCTTATTTGACAGTATACTTGCTGTAGGAATTTTTTTTACACACGTAAAAAATAAATCCAAATCCTTTCACACTGAAAAGGCATTTCATCCAGAGCCAAATCTATGTGGTGTTCAAAACTGCACAAACAGTTTGTTCAAAATTTGAGCAAGCTAAGTTAATATTCCAGGAAGCAATGTTACTTTAAGAAACAGAAAAACAGAAGTATTGCAAACAACGAATAAAACTTATGATTTTAAGGATTATTCTTACATTTATCTATTTAGGAACAGTATGACAAGAAGGACCTCATATTCCAATTCACAAAAATGCAATCCAAACACTGCATATCATACATATACACACAGATTAAATACAAATAATTCACAGAAGTTATTCAGAGAAGTCCCAGGAAGTCTAAAAACTAGTCCACACAGAGGATGTAAAACTCAGTAATCTGTCATGAAAGTTTCTCATACCTAGCATTCCTTTAGCAGTCAGAATTACAGAAGGAAAAAAATAAATACATTTATTCGCTTATTTGCACAATTACAAATAAACTTAAGCTTTTGCTTCATAGGACATTTAATAAATAGCCAAGAAGTCATATGTTTCAGCTTCTATTCTGGATACTGGAAGCAATCCTTTAGTGTAAAGACTGGTGTCATCTGCTGCTACCAATGTAGGAAGCAGTACAAACAAATTGATACCTGGCTTAAGGCTGTTTTAATTAAACTCTTCTTTAAAGAAAGGAAAGATTTACATCATTTTAAGAATGAGAGTAAGAAGTTGGTATATTTCACAGGAATGTGAAAAGAGTATGGGGTTTGGACTCACAAATATCATCAGTGGTATCTTCTGCACCTTTCCCTCCACAGCACATTATGAAAGGCACTCTTCGCTCAACCACTGCCCGACATTGTACACATTTCTTCATCAAGCTTGCACAATCTGAGAGGACAGAGAAACAAATCAACTCTGGATCCTGCTATCTCCTTTTTCTTCCTTCCTATCTATGAACTTGTTTAGTCACAGTAACTATATAGCAAAGGCACAGTAGATGTTTATAATACAAGTAACTACTTGTGTTCATTTTAACATATTTTCTGCAATTCACATTTATAAACAGTGTCCTGTTTGGGATTCAAAATAAACCTATTACATTTACCTTCTTTTAACATGTTTTAAGTAAGCAGGTTCTTCCTTCTCCAAATGTCTATGTTTCTTTTGACTTTGTAATTCTTATGGAAAAGTCACGCACGTTTGAAACTAGAACTTCCAAGAATGTCTTGACTACCTGCTTTTTCCTTTAGAACAAAAGATCTTACTGTCTTAATACTGCAGGGGAAAACAGGTATAGCTCTTTATCTTAAAAGAATAAACCTTTATCTTCTGATATAAACCTAGAAACAAGGTTGTAATTCTTCTACAAAAGGCAAATGATTGTCTCATAAATGCTGAAAGTTATTTTGAATAGAGTAGGTCTTAAAAATACACAAATTGGAAGACTCTCTCTCAATCTGCTTGAACAAAATGTCCAGAAAACAATCTGGAAAGAAATCATCTACATCTGTTAAACCTTTTACTGCCCTCATTACAGCTTAGGCTTGGTGATGTGCATTTCACTGCTGAAATCCTTCACCACGGCCATCAATCTTTTTGCTGTCCTCTTCCTGGGAAGCTACCAAAAAGAACTTCTCTCATCATCTTTCAACTGCAGACAGTGAAAGAGGCCAGTTCAGGAAAACTGTAAAGTTAGTGATTCAACATCAGGTCTCTCAACCAGAACAGAAGAAACCAGACTTTAGCAAGACCAAGCAAGCAGTTACTTATGGGAATGATTACCTTCCCTCTTATACAGATCCTCAGTAACAATGACTAATGCCTTGTGACAAGATAATGGCTGTATTTTCAACCACATATTTTAAAAAAAAATTTCTGGAGATCTCCTGTCTTTTTTTTTGCTACATGAGGTAAATCAGAATGAATCCTAACTGACGCTCTTTACAAAGATGTATGACGTGTCTGTTAAGGAAGAATATAACCCTTGTGCAAATCTGTGGATTAGCAATGAAGCATATTTAATATTTATTTCCAATATTCTTTTAAAACACCATTTACACATCTGAAGGCCCTAAAAAAGCTGCAATAACACAATAAAATTAAATTATTTCAGAAGCTTTAACAATATACCGCAGACTTCTATAATCTGAACAAGCCTACTCACAATTAAATAGTTCAGATGGAAGAGCATCTGTTCTTTGAATTTCTGAAAATCTACATTTGTCCTTCAATTATTTCACTACTAGAATGCCAAATAATGCCAAAATTCCGACTATCACACCGGACTATCAAGTAAATTTGATCTGAAGTCTGATTACTAATAAGCTTTTAGTAATCTGATTAAAAATGTTCTGTTTCGAGGTTACTTTAAAAAGAATTTCCTGTCAAGTTTACTTACTCTCACAAGCACACATATGACCACAAGGCTGGAAAAGTACTGCTGCTTTTTTATCTGAACATACTACACACTCTTCAATCTGTAAAAAAACCCAAACATAAACACATGTATGAGAATTTTATCTTCATGGGTTTCTACAGATCAGAAAATCTGTGTGTGGAACATGAGGTTTTTTGAGGGTTATTTTAATGGCCAAAAAGCAACAGAAGGACAAGACTTGGTGATTATGTGGAATAAAAGAATACTCAAACAGAAAAGAAAGGAGGATGCACCCATATAGTCACAAATACTTGGGAGCAAACACTTGAGAAGCCTGAGGACCTTACTGGGACTAGGTCCCCAAAACAGAGCATGACTGGTTGATACTCTGAAGAAGACAGCATAATCAAATTCATTATTTCAAAGACAGAGAAAGTGAAAGCTGAAAGTAATTATTAACTTCAGAAAGAAGCTCATATTTACTAATGCAGTTTAAAGGCAAATCATCTTTCCCAAGTAGCCCTAGAGAACAAAAGATCTCAGAAGAACTGAGTATTACTGAAGGAAATTATACATAAGGAAAAGCAGCTATTTATCTTAACATGGAGAAAAGGTGGGAAATCTATTTACATAAAGCATTCTCAGGTGACTGTATTAGGAACTCTGAGGACCTGAACAATAAAGACATTGCAAGGTGGGAAGAGAACAAGGGGCAGGTGGGACATGAGTACAGGTAAACAGGTAAGAGTAACATACATGTTGGGACAAGGTATCATTACAATGCAAAATTAATTCCATCCTGTGGGCCATATGTAATGCAAAATACTACTTAAAATATACTACACTTCTCCTTGACCTCTTTTTTTACTTTCCCATTAAAAACAGTAAGAGAACTAATAAACTTTGGGATTTTTTACCTTCGTCCTAGACTGAACTTGTTCTTTACAGATGAGGCATTTTTTCACTCGTGGTGAGCACAGGGAACATGTGGCAATATGTCCACATGGGCCAAACAGGGTATCTCTCTTCATGTCTGAACACACCATGCATTCTTCTAAGGTTTCAGAATCATTGTTGATCATAGATGGACTTCGGGAACCAACCTGACCACTACAAAGAAACCTTGCAGTCAAACTTACTTTTAAGAATTTTTAAAAGTGGCTGTTTATCTATATGCTCCTATGCATTTCAGCATCAGCCTATCATCATAAAGCAATTCAAACAGCATTTTCCCAAATGTACAGCTGAATCCAGAGAGCAAGGTCACACACTCAGATAAGACACTGTACAGAAACAGGCCACACAAGTTAGAACAGCATCTTGTGAACATAAAAAAAACCCCTTCCCTCCCATCCTAAGAGTTTATTTTTATTAATAGAGATGTACCCAGTAGATTCAGAACACACCTTAATAATTAATATACTTTCAATATACAATATACTTTACAGGCTCATAAAAGAACCCTCAAACTCTTGCAGTGAATGAACTTCGGATCTTTGTCCTATGCTGCTGCTCACCCAGCAGAGGGAGCGCGTGTTGAATCTAAGCAGCTCATCCGCACAGCCCTCACAAACCCATAAAAGGTGGCGAGAAAGAACAGCCACGGGGATAAGGCCAAGAGAGTTGGACAGACATAGACAGAAAGACTCTGAAGAAAACAAGCACATTACACACCAGGGCAGCATCAACAAAAACAGTCTCTCTTCATGACATTTTGAAAGTACAGTTTGGATTTCCATACAGCAGTTAAGGAGGAGAATCATGTAAAGCAACAGCAGGAACACAACCAGGACAAGTAGCAAGCTGAAACTTCTCGTGCACTTGGTAATATGACATTTCACTGAAATCAGAATTCCTAGAGAGGCGCTTTGGAGACATCAGAACTACCTCTTCTCTTTTTATGGAATCACACAATCATTCACGTTGACAGGTACTCAGGAGGTCATCCACTCAAAGAAAGATCAATGCTGAATTAACACCAGCTTACACCAGGCAGTCTTTAAACCTTGCATGGACAGAGATTTCATAGCCTCACTGGTCAACCCATCCTTATGGTTAGTCACTCTTTTAGTGATTTCTACACAAGCCCCCTTTTCTGGGATGGTATGAAGTTCCACCAGCCTCCACCTGCATGTTGCCACCCTCCTGCTCTCCTCCCTCCCATATTAACATGTATGAAAGTCCTGTAAAACTTGTGTAAGTATCAACTAATGAATTTGTAAACAGCATTCAATGTATAAAGAATTAATTAAAACATACAAGCTTTTTCTTGACTTTCAACACTATTGTTAATAAAGGGACAATGTTTTAAATACATCAATTAACCTACAGAAAGCAGAGATTTGGAAACTGTCTATTTTATGAATATACAAACCTGACTTTTTCTTTGTGACATTTAGCCAATGCTTTGCAGAGACTAGGATCAGGACAGAGATCAAGAGGAGACTGACCCTTCTTATTACGAATGCTGAGGTCAGCTCCGTTAGCTGCCAGGAAGCAGGCAATAGATGCTGCGCTCTTCTTCTCTGCTCCTTGAGTGCCAAGTCCCATTATTAACTGAAAGAAAACAAATACGTAAGCAATTTGAGACACTCTAAACAGTTAGGAATAGTCTGGGCTCAAGGAAAACTACTTGACATGCACACACGCACACATACAGACACATAAATCTGCAAGCTAAAGGAAGCGTCTTTAGAACTAAATATTGAAACAATTATACGCTTGCCTAATTTTGAGTCAGCTATTACTCAGCTTTCCTTTAAGGAAAAATTCGGTGAGGAATACTTCAAATATTGAAGTATTCAATCTCCTGCAGACCTCTATTTACTTGTGGTTAACCTTCTCCATAAGAAACCGTGAAGTCCCAGCAGGTATATTCAAAATACAGCTGAAGAATATTGAAAATGCTGAGTTCAGACAAATGCTACCACCACCACCACACCTGGACTGAAAACATAGCTGGCCAGTGAAGTGAACACACACTTACTTTTAGTCTAGTGAGTGAAGCACCTGCCCAAGAAAGACTTAGTATCAGTTGCCTCCTCAGCCTGGATGGATTTAATTTCACGTATCTGTCCTCCTGCCCTAGTCATGTAATGCTACTTTGGCCTTTTACAACTTGTACTGTATTTCTGTATTGGCCTACCTATTACTCACAATTCACAGGGTCAGGTAGAAAAATTAAGATAGAAAGCTCACTACCATAGACTAGCAAGGAGAGGATTCACCTGCTCTGGAGCATTTTGGGCCTGCTCCATCTTTTACATTTCAGCCAGATATTAGGCTGCTGCCACATAAAATTATAATAAAAAAGTTTTCACCTCTTCTCTGAGGGAATTTCATCTCCACATCACTTAGATTTGTTAGTTAGGCAGAAATTTTCTACACAAAAAAAATGACTAAGAGTTTGATCGAGCTAAAATAGAAGGTACTGGTCAATCACAATTTTTTTTACATGTTAGAACATTTTTAGTTGACCAGAGACAGAATTACAATGGGATTTTGTTTGTTGTGGCATCTTCCTCCTTGCCCCTTTTTTAAAGTCTAACAGAAATAAACCCAAGTTTTAATTGCTGTGTCGGTTTTTTTTAAAACCAAGGACACAGCTCAAATTTAACTAGAAAAAACCCAAACTTATTCTCTAAAACCTAAAATCTCCCAAAACTATAATTTCAAAAAGCAGTACAAAAAAACACACAAATGAACAAAAAACCCACAGCAAAGCACTTCTGTTAAAAACTCAAAACACAACTCTAGTTTCATTGTGGACACCACTAATGAGATGGGCAACATCTACTTATGAAATGCTGAATTGGAGAAGAAGTATTTATCACAATTAAATACATGCACAAATTATTTTGTCCACCTCTCTGAGAGTCCATTTCAGATCATGTAAACAACTAAGCTGTAATTGCCTTATTTCACTTAAAAGGAAGCAAGCATTTTCTTACATACGCCAGTCATACTTTATATTTCTTTTAAAAGTATATTTCAGTGAGTTAATTAAATAAACAGTGTGAAAAACATTTGTTGTACAGTGGAATTATGCTTTTGAACAAAGGCTTTTTAACAAAGTTGGTGAGGGTTTTTTGAAAGAAATGCAAAACCACTCACAGTTAAATTAGAAAAAATATTATGACATTGATAATTAATGATTCAGCAAACCTGATCTAGTGTTAGGTAGTGTATCTTTAATACTTGAAGAAAAAAATAGTTGTTCATTTTTCTCAATCCTGGTCACTCCAGAATTTCATTTCTTCTTTGCCTTTCAGCAAAACTATAAACTTTCACCTTTTGATATGGTGTTCACACAGCTTTTTGGGTGTGAGTTTTTCTTTTTTGAACAAAACATTTAGACCTTTATTACCTGGAATTTGTTTGACTATTTGTTTCCTACAGCACAATTTCTGAAATGAACTGTCAGAAAGATAGGTAAGAATAAATATGTGAAGATTAACATTGCCTTATCACAACAGAAGAAATTTTCTGACTGTTATAGAAGCAGCCAAACAAAGCTACAAAGACATGCAGTAAGTTGAATCACAGAAAACACAATTTTAGTCTTATTCTGTACTGTAATACTGTTTATTTGTTTCCTAAAAAGCTACTTCTGATTTTGTAGCAGCCACACATGTTCACTATAGAAGACAGATGTGTAGAAATATTTTTAACTAAATAACGCATATTTTTCTTTAAAATTTACGACATATGAGAAGTCACACAGAACAATATATTTTTGCCTACATTGCAGTCTAATGCAGAACATCTACATAAACTTATACTAGCAAAAAAACAGTCCAACAGTACAGAACAAGACAAACTAGACAAAAAGACAAACTTACAGGGGAAAAAAAAAAAGAATAAATAAATGCATTTTATTTACTGTGTTCTTTGATGGCTCCCAAGCAGTATCTACCTTGCCCACATCTTGCATGTCTTGAAGCTGGCGGAGCTGTGACAGGGTGTGGTGTCTCAAGGCCTCATGCAGGGGAGTATCCCCATCTTTATCCTGAATATCCAGCTTCGCACCTGCACGGACTAAGAGCTGAAACGATAGAGAACCCAATTTCAAAATAAAAACCCTCTTATTTATTCCTTTTAAAACTAATTTCAGCGAAACTACAGTTTAGGATGCTCTAGGAGGTCCAAAAGGAGGTCCTTTTATCTTGTTACAATTCACAGTTGAGTTTATTTACACTGATTGTCCATACTTGGGAGTTCAGCCCTCAACTAAAGCATTTATCTCTTTCAAATACTATGTTTAATTCAGCAGAAGCTTAATGCTTGCCTGTGATCTGAGGGAGCATACCAGAGATGCTAATTTAGAGGATTTTTTCTACTGTCCAAAACATTTAAAGCTTGCCTACCTACAAAGTAATGTTACAGCAATATATTAGAAACAGAACTAGTGGGTAATACTTTAGATACGTATATATTCTTCATTATTAGGTTTCACTGACCTCAAAAATCACTACTTTCACACACTACTTCCACACTTAACTTTACAATGTAATTTACAGTGTCCTTCCATTAGTAAAGTAGTTAAGCATGTGCTTAAATTTATCCTTATTGAACAGAAGACATAAAAAACACTGACACTATTAAATACTCAGAACATTTTGGAAATAATGAACCGTAAGATCTGTCTTCAAGGCTCATTTTAGACACACATTCCAGATCACACAACTTGAAAAGAAAGGACAAGGCTGAACAGGCCCTCCTATTTGTACTGCCTTAACATACAGCCCTTCCATAATTCAGTGCACCAGAACTTTATTAAATATACTGTAAACAAAACAAATCAACACCTGCTGACAAGTAACAACTGCCCCTAAGAATTACAGCCTTTGTGGCTATTCAGAAACCTGTAGATAGCAGCTGAGGTTTTAACTTCAGTTTTGAGCTTTTCATAGAATCATAAAACCATTCAGTTTGGAAAAGACCCTTGGCATCACCGAATCCAACCATCATCCTGACCCTACAAAGTGCTCCCCTAAACCATATCCAACAACACCACATCCAAACAACCCTTGAACACATCCAGGGATGGTGACTCAACCACCTCCCTGGGCAGCCTATTCCAGTGTCTAACCACTCTTTCTGTGAAAAAAGTCTTCCTAATGTCCAGTCTAAACTTCCCCTGTTGCAGCTTGAAGCCATTTCCTCTTGTTCTGTTGCCAATTGCCTGTGAAAAGAGACCAGTACCAACCTCTCTACAATGACCTTTCAGGTAGTTGTAGAGAGTGATGAGGCCTCCTCTCAGCCTCCTCTTCCCAAAACTAAACAATCCCAGCTCCTTCAAGTGTTCGTCCTAAGATTCATTCTCTAGGCCCTTCACCAGTTCTACTGCCCTCTTCTGTACTTGCTCCAGCACTTCGATATCTCTCTTGAATTGAGGTGCCCAAAACTGGACACAATAATACTCCAGGTGTGACCTCACCAGTGCTGAGGACAGGGGGACAATCACCTCTCTACTTCTGCTGGTCACACTATTTCTAATACAAGCCAGGATGCCATTGGCTTTCTTGGCCACCTGGGCACACTGCTGGCTCATGTCCAGCTGCTTGTCAATTAGAACACCCAGGTCCTTTCCTGCCAGACACTTTCCAGCCACATTTCCCCAAGCCTGGAGCATTGCATGGGGTTGTGGTGGCCCAAGTGCAGGACCTGGCACTTGGCCTTGTTGAAGCCCAGACCATTAACATGAGCACAACGATCTCATCTATCCAAGTCTCTCTGTAGAGTATCCCTATCCTCATGCAGATCAACACTCCTGCCTAGCTTGGTGTCATCTGCAAACTTACTGATAATACACTCTATGTCCTTATCAAGATCATAAATAAAGATGTTAAACAGAAATGGTCCCAACACTGAGCCCTGAGGAACACCACTTGTGACTGGCCCCAGCTGGATTTGACTCCATTGACCACCACTCTTTGGGCCCAACTGTCCAGCCAGTGCTTGATCCAACAGATCGTGTGCTCATCCAGGCCACGAGCGGCCAGGTTTTAATAAGAGTTCTATGGGGAACTGTGCCAAATGCTTTTTGGAGGTCCAGATAGACAATATCCACAGACTTTCCCTCGTCCAATAGCTGGGTCATCAGAATACAAATGATCGGGTTCGTCAGGCAGGACCTGCCTTTCATAAACCCATGATGACTGGGCCTGATCCCCTGGTTATCCTCTATATGTCTTCTAATAACACTCAAGATGATCTGCTCCATGACCTTCCCTGGTACCAAGGTCAGACTGACAGGTCTGTAGTTTCCCAGATCGTCCTTTCTGCCTTTCTTATAGATGGGTGTTACATTTGCTAACCTCTAGTCCATTGGGACCTCTCCAGTTAGCCAGGACTTCAGGTAAACAATGGAAAGTGGCCTGGCGATCACATCTGCCAACTCCTTCAGCACCCCTGTATGTAGCCCATCTGGTCCCATAGACCTGTGTGTGTCTAAGTGGTGTAGTAGGTCTCTGACCACTTCCTCTTTACTTGTGATGACCTCATTCTGCATCTCCTCCCCTTCTCCTAGCTTATGTGGCTCTATATCCATGGAGCAGCCAGTTCCACTGCTAAAGACTGAGGCAAAGTAGGTGTTGAGCACCTCAGCCTTTTCCTCATCCTTTGTTACTAAGATTCCCTTTGCATCCAATAAAGGATGGAGATTTTCCCGAATCCTCCTTTTGCTGTTAATAAACTTATAGAAACATTTTTTATTATCCCTGATAGCTGTAGCTAGTTTGAGCTCTAGCTGTGCTTTGGCTCTCCTAATTTTCATTCTGCATAGGTTCACTTCATCTTTATAGACTTCCTAAGTGACCTGTCCACTCTTCTGCTACTCTGCAAAATTCAGATTAGCAGCACAGACAAGGAGCACAGTCTAGAAATAGGAATACATAAAGGGGGATATCTCCCTTCAGAATCCACGTGCTTGCAAGGATATCAGCTTCTAAGACCCAAAGAATCTGAAGACACTAGAAAAGGCTGAAAGGAAAATAGCCTAAAAGGAAATCAGAACCTCATTTTCAAGGAAACACCTTCCTGTAACTGAATACAGCTCAACATTTTCCCTAACCTTTTCTTCCACAGGTGAAACCAATAAAATGAGCTAATAGTTGCAACAGTTGCCCCCATTTTCTTCTGTTCTCTAAATGGACTTATTCTGGCCCCATTTTTCTTTCTCCTATTAATCTTTTGTGTCTGCCACTAGCTGTTTACTGCTTAAAGAGTTTCTCCTGAATGAAAAACTGTAAGAGAACTCTTTTCAGAGTTCCTGGCAAATTCATTGAAATTCAAAGACTTCGAAGAGAAAAAAAAAAAAAAGGTAAATCACCATCCTTTGTCATGGCAGCAGAGCTTTTAAAAGAACTCTGCTACCTTTGACCACTATTCCACGGATGCCTGAGGGTACAACCCAGCCTGGAAGGTACCCAATAGGAATTAATTTTGAAATACAGAGCCAACATGGCATGGCTGCACGAGTTATTTTAGGACTTCTCAAAGCTAATCCAACTCTGAAGTACAGATACTCCACAGGGTCATTCACTTAAACATTCCCTAATATAAGCATGTCAGTCCAATGCATGTACTAGCACTTATACAAGCCTACCTTCCTGTGCATTAGTATTGTATTTCCAGGTACCGTGTCAGTTCCAGAAGGGCACAAGAGCTCACCAAATACAGCTGTCAAATAACTTGCAGGAAGCAAATGACACTGACTCTAGGAAACCATTCTTTTGGTGGCAAGCAGTTCCATATATAGGATCGTATCACATGTTTCACTGTAACAGGATCAGCTCTGGGAGATGGACAGACTTTATGGCAAAATAACACTAAACTGAACCACAAGCATACTCCTGCATAGGGGGTGCAGTTCTCTGTAGATCTGAGTTAAGAGGCAGTTTTTAATATCAGATGACTCTCTCTACAAATAAAAAAAAAATTACACAGAGGGCCAAGGCCAGTTGATGTATTCACTCATAAGGAACACCTACAGCAGGGAGTGCCCCCTCTGAGCCTCAACAGCCCACATGAGCAATCTACACGCTAAGTCACACTGATCCCCTATGGACAGTGCACACAGGCGTTGATGTATTCACTCATAAGGAACACCTACAGCAGGGAGTGCCCCCTCTGAGCCTCAACAGCCCACATGAGCAATCTACACGCTAAGTCACACTGATCCCCTATGGACAGTGCACACAGGCCAGAACTGATAAGTGGTGCCAGACTCCCATTTCCTGTGCCAGTAATAAAGTTTTGTTAAATTGAACTATTAACTTTTGCAATCATGCAAGCAAAAAACCCTATCAATAGCATTATTTTCACTAGTAAAGTACTTCTGTTACTGCTTATAGCTATCACAAGCTCAGAACAGAGAAAGTTACATACCCAAAAGACTGAAAAGTAGTTAAACTTGTAAAAAGGTGTTTCACTTTTCTTAAGTTTGCAAAAGCTATGAGCAAAAATAATTACTCATACAGCAAGAGGCATAAAAAATGCTATTTGTAAGTCCCATTACAGGACCACAAAGCTCAGATCAGTAACAGAGGAACACATTCTCCCTTACTCAACAAGGAGGGATGCTGGAATTGCCAACCATGTAAAAGAAACCATAATATACACGTCCAAAAAGTGAGCATTCCTAAAACGTCCTTCACATTTCTGACTAACCTTCTGGGCAAGTTGGCAGGTTTCTGAATCAATCATACAAACATTCAATAGATACATGCTGTTAATTATTTTTGTAAGTGTTGATGAAATACCCATGTCTTAACAGCTACAATCGGCTTGAGCCAGGTATTATTAACCATGTGGTTACTGCTAATAAGTAACTTACCCTAACAATTTGCGTATGCTGTCGTTCAACGGCAAGGTGCAAAGCAGTCTGCTGGTTAACATTCTGGATATCCAGGTTAGCATTGCCCTGAAAGATATTCAAAGCATTAGAGCATTATCATCCCAGCAATTAATCTATAGGCAAGGCAGACCGTTAGGGCACTGAATAAAATCCTGAATGTGATTCCTAGTTTGGAAATTTGAGAGCGGAAGTGATTAAATACTTTAATTATTCACTGTACAGATGCTGATCAGTTGAATCAAACTAGGTATCACATATTTCAGTCCCTCTGCACCATCACCATTTGGTCATTGCAAGGACTTCTAAGGCAAGTCTGACCTTTAGAGCTCACCACATGACCTTCCCTGCTCCATTGCTTCTGCATTGCGATTGCAGGCGTAAAGCAGCAAACTATTTTCACATCAGGTGGTTAACTGAAGTGTGACATTTAAATCCTGAGAAGAGAGTCCTACCTGATGCACCAAAAGTTCAGCCACTTCCACGTGATTATTGAGAGCTGCCAGATGCAAGGCAGTGTAGCCGTCGTCCTTTTTCTCGTCAACAATCCATGGTCGTGGTAACTTGGACAACAATACACGCATTGCACTGAAATAAATGCGCAGAGATGGCATAAATATACCTATAATTTATTTGCTGAATGACAATAGGACAACAGTAAAACAATACTCATTCTCAATACCACTCAATACAAAGGAGTAGTAACTAAAGTAACATTTTTTTTTTTCCACAAAGAGAAAGTGTATTAAAAGCTACACCAACAGTTCCAAAGCATAATAATTTCATGTTTAGTTCCTCCTAGTTAAAGCATATTAAAAAAACCCCACACAATAGCCAAAGAGTGTGGGAATCAGATTTTTTTCAGGAAAGTGTTACCTAGCAGTAAAAGTTACCTTAAAAAAAATATTCACACAGATTCTGAAACATACATGACACAATATTCTCCCTTAAGATCCTTACAGCATTCTTTACTTAATTATTTAATGAGCAAGGTCCACCACATTAGATTTCTTTAAAATCATCACTTCATATTCTGATGTCGTGGGCCATTAACAGTTAAGATTTTCAATTTTTGAGATAAAACTGGAGTAAGACATCTTAGACATGGACAAAATAAATTATTAAACTGTAAAGCAATTATTAGTGGAATATTTTTATAATACATAGTGGCTGAGCATAACATCCTATGGCAGTGTCTCTACCCCATTTTCATATATGCCTACCAAAGGAAGGAGATTTATTATCTTACATTTCAAATTCAAGGGTGAGGAAAAACAACTCTATTACTGAAGTATTAAAGCAGACTAAAATCCTTGAAGTCCAAAGACTGCAGTGTTAATAACACAATGCTAGACAAACAAATATCTCAATATTGTATTCTCTCAGAAATACACTTAAGTTCAATTGCCTTCACTTTTGAATAAGTAAATAACCAAACTTAATTCTCTTATTATCTTATCTTATAAACACCACATGCAGCTCCCTTATTACAGTTCTTTAGAGACAAACAGAAAACAAGAAACTCCTATAATCCTGTGCCAGGAAACCTCTT